ACAATAATTTTTGAAAGAAGATATATACAAAGTACCTGTAGGAAGATGCTTAAAATGTGGCATATAATAAATAATCTGCAACTTTAAAAATTTTTTAAAAAATGAGTATATGAGGAAATAAACCAAAAAAGGTAACCTGATCCCTACAAGTACTTGGAAGCATCTGCCCATATAACATCAAATTGCTTAGGGTACACCATGATTCCCCTAGTAAATGTTAGTATAAAACAGGAAAAGGTTTTAGGCATTATCTATGATGTGGATAGTGTCTGAAGTCATATCTACTAGAAAACAAATAATGTTTTTTATAATTATTTTAATTTTAGAATCTTTACACTTCTCAAGTACATACCTTTTAAATAAATGAATGCAATGTTAAATGAGAAAAATGTTAAACATTCTTTTTTAAATATAAAGGACAGAATAAATATGTAAGAGTTGAGTATTTCACATTATGTTTAAAACACATATTACTAAATATCTGAATAAGAACAAAGTATGTAAAACTTCCTAACTGGTGGACCTGACCATCAATATACAGATCAACTGAAATCCAGTGGCTGATCACTCTTTTCCTACCACTAGTTGTGTTTCTGCATTGGCATGAGGACGCTGGCATCCTGAGAGAGAGCAAGTCACTAGTTTACAGAAAACATAATCATTTTTTGCTTTTATAGACATTGCCAAACTTATTTTGAAAACTTATATTCTGTGCGCCAGCAGTCTTTCTTTAGTTCTTATGAAGTAGCTTTTACAAAAAGTGAAAACATTACTCATAAGCAACTACAGAGTAACTATAAAACAAGCTTAGTAGATTAAAAACATTAAACATTTACTTTATTTAGAAGTAAATGACTACATGTTATGTACCTTCCTTATGGCTGACTTGAATTGAACAAATTCCAGATCCAACAGTTCTCCCACAAAATAATCAACATTTCCAACCCTTTTGTAAAAATGTGCAGACATACATGTTTTAGGTTAATGTGCAAATATAATAATCACAAGAGTACTCTTAGCAAACTGGTTTGCTAAGGTTCTTAAATTGTTATTGGATTTTAAAAGAATAGGTTTAAAACAACTTCCAAAGTGACATAAAAACATATTGAAATGCTGAAATACCAGTTTCCATGTATTAAATTTACAAAACTCCAAGGATCTCTTGCTAGTTTTTTTAAAAAATCTGAGATCTGATTCCTATTCTAAACTTGCTTATTTTCAAATCACCTAATGTTATCTTAAACAAAATTACCTCTTTCAAGCCACATACTGACTCTACCTATCTCTTTTATCTCATAATTTTACATGTTACCTACGAGATTACTTTAATCCACACATTGAATGTATACAGAATATACCTTTAATTTATGAGCTCTGAGAGGCTATAGTATTGCTGAACAAATTATTTCCTTGAATCCCTTATTGGCAGTTGTAGAGGTGTCTGGTGTTTACCTTTATGTTACATCTTCTAGAAAAAAAAATTATAGCCTTCAAAAAGTGCCAATTTTTTTATTATAGCAAACGCAACTGGCACTTTCCTTAAAAATGGATTCAACACTCATGGGCCTAAAGTAATACTTTGTAACCAGGGTCAGAGGGTTCCACCAGGGCTACCTAGGGGAAACAAACTAGGTTCTAAAAGATTCTTAAAATAAGGCAAGTAGAGAAACCAATCTAGAGTTTTCTGGGTGACCTCTGGACAGAGAGCCTCCCCAAATTTCTACTTTTAGAATCTTACCAAAATAAAAATAATTGAGGATATTTTGCATGCAGATATTTGTGTTATAATTCCACAAATAAATATTAAGTCAACAAAATACAAATTTTGCAATTACTTTGTTGAAAAACAAATGAGTTGCTTAGATTAGTTAAAGCTGCCATGGATCCCCAGATACTGTCCTCAGGTGAGGTGCCAATGCAATGACCTTCATTGTAATGGAATTTCATGCTAGCTGAAACAGTGTGTGACACTACTCGTTGCCAGCTGAAGTGCAAGCACTGGTTTCCCCCCTTCTCAGTAACTATGAGACCATAAAAGGTATTTCTTCATTTTTCACACCACCATTACTCAGTGTTTCTGCTATAGATAAGGGCAAAAGACCCTGTAAACTCGACAGTTACACTATCTGGCTGATTAGAAAAGAAAAAAACAAATAATTTTTTCAGACAACTAATCAGGTTATAGCATATATTGACTACCGTTGGCAAAGCTTTTTAGTAAAACTGTTTTGTTCTGCAAAACTGGATCCAGGGTCCTTTTTATATGTTCGATAGAGAATTGTTTCTAATATAACTTTAAAACCTAATTACTTCACATTTCCAAAGTACCGTAGCATAAAATGGTATAAATTCTAGCAGGTAGAATAATCTAACATGAAAAATAATTTTATGCTCTAAGAAGCCGATGACCTTTACTAACTCACATTGTTTCTCGAAAAATGAGATTGACTTTAAGTGGGTATGACAATATTTACTGATAGCTAAACTATCCAAATCAAATGCTATTGATTTTTCCTATTTAAAAAAGTTTATCATTTTTACTTTTTAAATATTAAGGGTAAGAATCACTTCTGCAAACTTTTCTAAGCTGTGATTCTAAATATGTATCCAATTGCCCTGAAATTAATTCACTGATAGCAACTAAAAACCAGAATTTAAGAACTGAGCTCAGTCTTCATTTGGTTATAGTCTGAAATATACAAAAAAGCGCACACACACCACTGCACACACTCATTCACTCACACATTTCCCGAAACTAATTAAAAATAAAATGAAAACTGGCTAGTGTAAATGGAGGAGAAAAGTTTCAATCTACAAGATTCCGCGAATACTTTAAGGGCTGTAAACATCCTAACATATGCAAAGGTTTTATTTAAAAACATTATTTAAATATTAACTCACATAATCATACAATAAATTAATATTTTCAGCTTTTTAAAAAACCTACACATATCCTTCCTTCCCCCCAACCAAAAACATTGTAGAAGTATGTAAGACTCACACCTTTATTTGCCTCATAAAAAATAGCTGCCAAAACAACTAAGCGATTGTTCTTGCCTAACTTGTGAAGTGGCATAAAAACTACATTCCTGGGTAGGACACAATCTTTGCGCCTGACCCCCCAAGAACCTTCAAGTCAAATTCATTTACCCCCAGAGGGCAATACACTATTGTATCCTCTCCACTTTCTAGCCACCTATGAACAATGGATAGTAATTGCAACTGTCATGGGCAGTCAGTAGGAAAAGTAACCCAGTGCTGTTTCCCCAGTTTACTGTCAAACCTGAGTTGAGCACCTAATAACCATGCCCTGAACAGAAGAAAGACCTACAGTTGCTTTTAAAATGCATCAGAAAACAGCTTTTTGAACAGAACCAGAGGACAATAACCAAACTTGTGCTCTGAATGTGAAGCTTAAAAAACTCAAAATTAAAGACAGAAACTTCTTTTGTGATTGTACTGTAGCTTCGCAAACGAACCCCCAGGCAAGCCTGAAAGGACAGCTGAGCTTTCCTCTAAGCTTGTCATCACTGCTGTTGCTGCTTTTAAGTTTGACTTGTGAAGGAAAACGAGGGAGGGAATAAATGTTTGTCCTCCATTGGAATGAGATCACAAGGCATGGAAAAGGCGGCCTTCTCTGCTCCACTCGCAGTTGTTACCTAGGTCAATGGAGAATAAAGAACCTTGGAGAATACATCTTATGCCTCAGGTGCAAATGGGTTAAAATCTATCAAAATAATATAAAGGATGTGCTGCCTCTGAAAATGAAACTTTGCATTTCCCCTTAAATTTTGTCTTCAAGCTCTTTAAGTCGCATTAATTATTATTCATTTGAATTTAATTTCACTACTGATTTTGGTTACCGAACTTGTTGATTAGCATCCATTCATTCTCTCACCACACATTCACAACCAATCATAACCTGAATATATGTCATTCCAAATGATCTGCATAAAAAAATGAAATATGTAACCAAATATTTACTGAAAACTTCCAAATATCCAGATATTAATATCATGTAGGTCAAACGTTAGAGAAAATCTATGCTTTGCCTTTCTTCAAGATACACTGATAGAATAGAGCCTTAAGAGCCTTAAGAGAAACAGTTGCGAGAGAGAGAAGAACACTTGCACAGACACACATATGCAAAATAGTTATTTAGGTACATATTTCTACATGTAGATAAATATAAATTTGACATTTTTAATATATTCAGCTTCTACCAAAAAGTATACAAAGTAATATATAACTAAATATTTTACACTGATGACTAAGTTCCTTGACTTTCTCAAAATTAATTCTACTTTAGAACTCAAAATCGTAAGTGTCCTATTGGCAACCAATAGAAAGCCATAGATTTCTTAGTGTGTTTTGAGAAAATATACTTTTAAATTAATTGAAATGCTCATTTTCTTCTATTTTAAGATGAGGAAATTAAATCTTCTCCCATTGTTATTAGTAGAAGTTTATTAAAATATGATATTTATCTTCTGCAAACTATATAGAATTTTTCTTAGTTGGATGTAATTACTGATTCAAATAAAACCAAAACAAAATGTTGTCTTTACTGGTACAAAACAATCTTTTATTATACCCTCCCCATTAATCATTTCTGATTTCAAATGTAGATTATGTACACACACACTTCATATATGTAGAATGTATAAAATCATCTTGGAAGGTGCAGTTTTTATCCTCACTATAGTTACACTACTTACAATGTAAATCATTTAATTATTTAAAAAAAGATGAACACTAAAACCTGTTAAAAATATAGTGGGGTTATTCTGTTAAAAACAATTTACTCTATAAGGCACAAATAAAGAAAGAAAATAAGAACTCTGCTAAATTATCTTTCCAGATAGAAAGAAGAAACACCAAACACAAATAATGCATGAAGCAGAATGGGATGGGGCAGAAGTACTATATCACCATTCATATTCATAAATATCAACTTCATTTTGGTACAGTTTGGATCAAAATAATTACATATACATTACCTTTTATTTCGCCAAAGTTCCCTGATCCCATTGCAAGAAGCTTGTCTTTCCAGTCCTTTGAGAGTAGTTTTTCAATACTAGGGGTTTCTAAATAAAGAAAAAAAAAAAAGTAAGCAAATCAACATGACTATCTTTACAACGGAGCTCATTAAAAGTCTATCTGCTAAAAATAAGGCCATCCCTATCCAGGCTCCAGTTCATAATGGCTTCATCAAAAAACTGATAACAGGGATGGAAAAAAAGAATGTGTTTTGTCACCTGCTGTTTCAAAATCATTAGCTTTCCCTCTTGTGGAACAAAGCCATACTAATTCTTTATGACAATGGGTGCATATAAACCTGCAGTTCATTGTTTTTCAATTTGGTGAACAAATTCTTGCTATAATGGATGCTTGTCAATTTTAGGGTGTTAGTCTGCAGTCAAAAAATAATTATGTTGATAAAATGCAGAATAAAAAAAGGCAAAGAATTAGCTCTTAAATCTGCTACATGTAATTATATCCCTCTGTGTGTTTACAATTACATCCACTTTATAATATGTGTTTAACATCGCGTGGTGGTAAGCACACTGTGGCAAGATTTGCCAGTACCACGAACATTAAAAAAAAAAAAAAAAAGAAAAGTTAGTATAAATGAGGTTTTAAAAAGATTGCAAAATCTAGAGAAGTGAGAAATGCCTATAGTGGAAACCTATTATTTGCTTATTTCAGATTTGTATCACATTCTTTTAAAATGCCCTGCATTGAGACAGGACACACACATTTTAGAGAACAAGGTTGCACTTTAGTCTGGTATTTGTTTCTGTATATCACATGATTTTTGACCTTTCCTTTTGTGTTGAATTTTAATGTATAAGTAAATATAAATGATAGTAAAAACTACTAAACATTAAACTCAGTTTCAAACAATATAATTGTATACTCTTGTCAGCATTTAGATGAGTACACAATTACAATGGCTTTCAATCCCACGATTAGCACTGCATTCAGTTAGAAAATGGAGTGTACTAAAAGATAAGTGTCCCAGTATGCCCCATCTAAATAACAATACCCACACTTATTATCTAGATCTAAGACACTGCCATTCTGCCATTCTCCACATTGGTGTTTATGTGTATTCGCATTTGTTCAGGCATTTGTTTACCCCCTACTAGCCACATAAAGGGAGTGCATGTTAACTTATCAAAGGAATCTTTTGGCCTAGAAATCACAAAATTATTAAAAACTGCTTAATTTTCCTCACAGTAAAATGTACTTTAAAGAGCATTTATTATCATCTTTAACTAATGCTATCTTCTATTTTCAGGGCCCCATCTTACAGCTATCAGAGTCACAAAGCCTGAAAGTTTTCAACAAAGCAGGGTTCCTTGGGAAAAAATGCACCAGTATAGAATACTTCTTTCTCAGTTGTCAAAAGTTGTGGAAAATAAAATGGTGAAATACTCCGAATGATTACTCTTTTATGTATACGATACATATAGTGCAAACACACACACATGCACCATAACTACCATGTGCAGATTTACCTATGGAACGTGTGAAATGCATTTTTTCCTCTGTAGCAATATTTATAGCTCTATTTTTCACATTTAAAGAAAAAATCCTGAAGAATTTATTTTTACTTTTTCTTAAAAAATTGCTTTATTTTTATTGTTTTAAATCATATTGTTACAAAAGCAGTAATGACAACTCTGAGTAATAAAGCAGAAAAATTATCTTCACACTGTAATCAATATTTCTGTTCATTGAGGCTTTTAAAGTAACTTTAAAATACTTCTGCAATGATTTCCAACATTTCTACATTTCCAGTAAACACTTGGTGAGCGAAATTATTTCTTAAACCTTATCAGAGTAGGTCAAACAAACACCACTGTTTCTTTTTTCCAGCACTCTACAAAAATTCTTGAGTAGCATGTAAACAGGGCACAGCCAATACGGTATTTGCAATAGAGTACTGTCAGTCATTAAAAGCTAACAAACCTTTGCAAAGCAGGAATGCAGCAATAGAAATCTATTGTGCACTAACAATAGGCCCCTGAACCTCCAGGCACCAAAAGCAGACCATTTTACTTTTAAGGCTATTGTCTGCAAAGTCCATGACAAAGCTTTTCCCCTGAAGCTAGACAAAATATTCACTGTAGTGTGCTCATAAAGAAACAGAAGTCTTCTGTCTAAGTTGCAGAGTTAAAGAAACAGCAACCAGATTTCTAAAACCTGCAGAACATTCCTGGCCTCTTTATTAACTAACATAAAAATATAAGGCGTATATAGAGCCTGTTTTTTTTTTCAAGTACCTGACTTTACGTATACACTACAAAAAAATGAATAATTTCGTTAAGACTATGTTTTGAAAAATGTAAAATTAGAAACATCTAACTCAGTGTTGTCATGTATGTGGATGAATAAATACACTAATACTTCCATTTTCAATGTGGTATATACTTTAAATTCAGATTAAAATTCATTTATTGAGCAGCCTATGTGCCAGAAAATATGTTAGATGTTTTTACCCGTATTTCTCATTTAATCATAACAACCAACTGAAAACTTAGACTGTGTTATTACATCCATGTTACAGGTTTTAGAAAAGAAAAGGAAGAATAAAAAAAAAAAGGACTGGTCTGAGGTTCCACAAAATATAATGGACAGAATTGAGGTCTTGAACTCTGTTTTTTTCCGACAAATTCTTAACTCTCTTATCAAAACAAAATGATAGTGACAGCTATTATTTTGAGGGGTAAGTGCTAAGAGTGTATCAGGTTATTTACATATGGTATCTCAAACTTCTCACTATAATCTTCTGAGTTACATATTGATACATCTGTTTTACCATTTAAGAAACAAAAACTTAGGGAGTTATCATGACTCCCTAAGAACTTTGCTCTTTCTAGCACACAAACTGCTATGGTTTAAATGGATCTCCCCATTGCAAAAACGGGACCTACTGGGAGGTATTTAGGTCATAAGAGCTCCATCCTCATGAATGGATTAATGCTGACTATAGATTATAAAAAGGACTCAAGCTGCAGGTTTCATCTGTCTCTTATGGTGCACAATCTTATTCTTCCACTTTCTGCCGTAAGACATCACAGCAAGAAGGCCCTCACCAGATGCTGGCACCTTGACATTGGACTTCCCAGTTTCCAGAACTGTCAGAAATGAATTTATTTTCTTTATAAATTATCCAGTCCGCGATATTCCGTTATAGCAATACAAAACAAACGAAGAAACATATATTCCCTCATTTCATCTACAAACCAATCCTGGGTGGTAGGAAAAGCTATTCTTAGTAACTCCATTCAATGAAAGAAGTAAAAACTTGAAAAGATAAATTTTCTGTGGTAACATGTATGTATGAGCAGCAACTGTAGAATTAAAAGAGTATTGTCAAATTATACAACATGCATTCTAGAATTCTGGACAATTTAATTACAGCCTATGACCACCTAGCAGAGATAAACAATAAAATGATTCATTTTACTTATAGTGAAAGAAGTAGTGGGCTGTAAGCCAAACTACCTGGGTTCTCCCCAAGACAGTGACACTGAGGAGGGAAGAGGGCCATAAGGACATCACATTCATTCTTTTCATCTCTCTATCTGAATTTCTGTAAAATGACGTGCTTCAAGCAAATTCATATTCAGTATTCTACCAAGTGCTATAGTTTCAATTTGTTTCCACTGGTAGTTCCAGAAAAAATGGTAAGAAATGATCTCACAATAATGATGGACATGTAGAGGTAACTGAATTTTTCAGAAAATGGTAGAGTCCATAGAAATTTCATGATTATAAATGTAAAAGACCAAATGGCAAAATCCAAATATTTACAATATACCTGTTCATTAATGTGTGAATATGAGTAGTGAAATTTGACACAATTATGTAAGTACTGCTTCACTGTTTATAGAGTAAAAGATACATTAATTATCTATTAAAGATTTAATTTTGTAAAATGAGATTTTAAAAAACAGAATTGTACTCTGTACTATAAATATGGTATACCGTGTGCCTAATTATTTGTAAATGTTCAGATTCCATTATTTTTATGTTCAGTAGTATCATGTTTTAAACTTAAACACTTAAAAAATTCTCCTGAGACTTCCTTCTTCTGAGATTTTATTCTCCCAAGCACTGGAGTATCACAATTACCTTCAAAATAAAAACTAGGGCTCCCTCCATTAAGTGTGAGAGCCAATAATGGTAATTGTTATTTGCAGGGCATTTCAGTTTATAGAATGCTGCCAGATGCAATAGTCAGTGGCACATATGGTTATTAAACCCATTTTGCAGTTGAAGAAACTAAGGCAAGAAAGAGATTTGGCCCAAAATCACTTCCTCAGAAAGTAGGACAGGTGTAATACAAATTCAGTTTATCTTCATTTAAGAATCTTTCTCTTTAGGGGAAGGGTAAATGCATAAAGACAAAATAAATGTTAATAAATAAGCTATAAGATAAATCAGAAATGAAAGATAACCTTCATCAATCAACACATTAATATTAAGGTAAGTCTAACTGGATTACTACTGTTTCTTTCTGTCAACAGGACCCTTTTGATGTATTTGCTTGCTTTTCCCTTCTCACCCTTGCCTCTTTTGCTCACATATGCTTCTTCACATCAATGCCTATGGCAATCCCCACCAGTGAATGGCCCCCCCAACTGTGCCAGCCATTGTTACAACAGCATCCTGCCTCTTTAGGGCCTGTTCATTCCCTATAACTCTCACTCCTCTTTCTCCCTTCAGTGCCAAACACTCTTAAGACTGACTCCCTCATCTGGAACAATGAGACCTAGAGACTCATGCCAACATATTGTAATTCTCAACAAGCTGCCAGTGCCAAGAATTAAACCACATTCGCTCCAGTGCAGTAGCTTTACACACAAGCTCAGGTTTTTGCTTTGTGTTTATGTAGGTTTTTTTTCTTAATCTCCCTTCAGCTGCTGTGGCAGAGCTCATTGAAAAATTGAACAAGCAAAAAATACACAGTATAATATTTGACTTCTTAAACAAAGTCTTTGGAGTTAGGTCATACCAAATCTATCACTGTTTAAACTTTAATTTTGTAGCTTAAACTAAGCTGTGTTATTCT